AAATATGAAATCACTGATGTATATCTATCATGTAACTATATATATATATATATATATATATCGTATGAGCTTAAAAGTTAACACATTTTTGTGAAGAATCATTTTGAGCTATGATTATTCAATGAATAAATAAATAAATAAATAAAAGAAGCAGCAACCACACAAACACATTCACAGTTACTGTAAACATGCAATTGAGATATCTTCATTGTTTGTCAGTTGTGTTACTGATAATTCCTGACTTAACTGTCTGACTAGAAACACAGTGATTATACTAACATCTAATAACTTTAAAAGTATGAAATAAATTTCAGTTGAAAATATCAATATAGGGCTTCAATACTAAGACAAATTTATATATCTTACACATGGAAGGCAGAGATTCTGAATTTTCAATCACTGTTTATCCACAAATTTATGTAATGGCATGATTCACAAGTTTAAATCCAGACAAGCCTGAGCCTTAGTTCATCAACATGAAGTACAGACCAACAAATGCCTTACAATCAATTACATCCTTCAAAATGTTTAATACTAGATTAAGAGTAACTTACATTTTTAGCTGAATATTTTCTATGTGAATTACAAAATTTATCTCTCAGTTGCTTCAAGAAGCCTAGAGCTAACTGCAAACATACAGTTCTTGTACTGTAGCTGCAATTATCAAATGCAATACTATTACAAAGATATTTCAGCCTAAATCTACTCACAAAATAAACAAACTTTCACAAATCACCATCAACATATATACGGTGTCTCTAATAACTCTGCGAACTTCCAAGGTTAGTCACATGCCTTACTATAATACCTTCAATGTTCCTCACTGGTAAAGCAAAACACTCATTTGCAATCACATTTACAACTATACTGAAAACACATTAGGAGTTCTGATTGATGACTTAGTTACTCCAGGTTTGAATTGAACTGATGGAAATTATTATAGACAAACAAGCTGTTTGTTGCAAAATATGAATTTTTGAAAACATAAATGCTTACATTTCAATTTCTAAACCATTAATAAAGTACTATTTGTATGAACCATATAATTCGTTATTTAACTCAAAATCCAGTTGATTGACTGACAGAATTGTAAAGTAAAATTTTGTACATCATTCCGAAATTTACAAGAAAAACAAAAAAGCATGTGAAAAGAACTAGTAAAGTTCCCTTTTTCCTTATTGTACATGTTACAAAGTGGTACTTTTTGAGAGACTGCAACTAGAATGTCTTTATGAAAACAAAAAGTAAATGGTCTGACAAAGCAGTTGTAGCTTCTTTAGTCGCTTGTTCTACTTTTAAGTTCTGACTGAAAATCCTTGTATATTATGAATGGATTAATTATCAACTGTTGTGTGTGATAAAATAATCAAATGGTTTTATTGATATTCCTGAAAAACAAACTATATGGAACAGCCTCTAATGTTAGTAGAAATCGGTAGTTGTTCACGGTTATGGTAAAGATCAATTTTTGTGTGGAATGCTTACAATGTAAACAACTGTTTTAGCTCTGGTTCTGCAATTCCTTGTTCAGGAACATATCATGAAAATACTTTACCTACATTATGCTTCATGACAAGTTGTTAGTGACATATTTCAAAATGATTCTGTCCAAATAATCTTCCTTCTGATTTCAGTTCTCATTTTTTCTCTGTTATTTTGATAATTCAGTTGTTCTGGACAGGCTAAAATCAGTTTCAAACTTTAGCAGGTAAAGTAAGACTTCTGTAGGAAAGCCTTCGGACAACAAGATATAGATCAGGATCTAACTATCTTCCAGCTTCAGTTCATGTAATGATTTTTCAAAACTATGCTTGTACACATCCAATCATGTCAGCTCTAATGTTTTATCTTTTAAAAACAGGAATAAATGTTTTGTATTGATCAAATTATTGATTTGGCACAAAGTGCACATTTTTGTAACCAAGTAAGTGGATACTTCCCACCATTTGTCCAGTCTTTACATAATCAGAATGAATGTTCATAAGTGCAATTCACCAAATAAGATGGTAACAACTCAAGTTAAACTGAATTAGTGGCCATTTTTTATGTCGTTGATGAAGATCTACCAGGTGAAGATGCAACTCACCAATGTCCAATGATAGCTGATGAAAATAAATTATCATGCAAGATATTGTTTGATACAATTTGGAGAACTTGACCTGGAGACATAACCAATTTGTGAAAAATTGCAAAAGACTGCATTATTAAAACCGATGGCATACTGCATCCAGATTAAGAAAAAAAGTGTTCTTTTTTACTCCTTGAGGAGCTAAACTACAGTATCTCAGTCAGTCAGCTATATATCTCAGGTTATAATACTGTGATCATTTATATTTTCTGCTTAAATAAACTTTATTTATCTGTAATTTTTGATATGCATTAATTTTCTATTGTTTCATATGATTTTGCATTTTTGTTACATTTTATTTTTCTGTAAAAATATACCAATATTGATGACAAATTAAGACAGATATTCACTGAGACTCACATATTGATATCTTCATAATGTTAATCTAGTTCCCACAAGTTCTGGAAGGTCCATTATATTGTCCAAGCTAAGGAATGATTGATCAAACACCAACAAATCTGATCTGATTTCATCATCTCCACTCAGATTACGAGATTCAACAGTAAGCACTAGATCAGCTCATCTGGAATCCCCTAATTTGATATATGATGAAAAATTTGATACTGCATTAAATCTAAGAAAGCAGTTAGACAGTATAAGCAACATTGTTGTGATGATCCAACCAGTTAACCTGAAAATCTCCCATCAATAGATATATACATCTAGAACTGGAATGACTTCTCAACATCTGTTCCAAGTTGTGTTTATTTCTATTATGGTCATTAGATTGTGGTTAATGACAAAAGATATCACTCCAGTTGAACATCTAAAGAAGTTAAGAAAATATAAACTCAATGAATACTTCTTTCTAGCACATGATGGCCTTTAGATACAAACTGAACATTCAATAAAAACTTTCTTAGACTTTGTGCACAAGTGATGCCTAAGCTTAAAGCCTAGAAAACTGAATCACTAGTAAACTTTCAAATAATCTTAAGTTCTTTTAGTCTTGGAGCTCATAATAGAGTCAATTGCACAAAAGCACAAAGATATGTTTGGAAGAATGCCTAGAATTACTGATCATCACCGATATGATAAAACTCGCAATATCTCAAAACATCATCAGGAAACACACTGTTTAAAATTGGACTTGGCATCTAAGTCAACAACTGATACTTTTATGCAAAGAAAGTACTTGATTTATAGTGAATTCTACTTATATAATAAAGACCTAGTGTTGTTTGCTCTTTAGTGGGACTGTCACGCTAGTTCAAATATTAATCATTTGACAAATCTTGGAATAGTCTGCAAAAAACTCATGGATGAGTATGTTCAAGTGATTAACTGGTTTAACCCCTTAAGCAGCCTGAAGGTTCAGCTAGGTATTAAAATTGGATTTGATGGATAACTGCTGATGAAAATGTTTTGTGCATTGTAGAGATCACGAGACAGAAAGACGACTGGAAAACTTATCTTTGTTAGAAAAGAATTAGTCAAAGTTAAGCAAAGAAATACCTATCGTTCCTAAGAAGTTTGAGTTTTTGTTTTCTGTGGCAATTACTAGCCAATGTGAAGGCTTCTGATCTGACTGAAATATTTGGATTATCAAGGCTTCCAGGATATTCAGAAAGAGAGAGACCTCCAAAGCAAAATAAGAAATGACAAATAATTCAATTTACACCTAAGTTGCCACTCTCTAGTTGACAAATTGCATATATGAACATTCATCCTGATGACCTAAAGGCTAACAAAAATGGTGGGAAGTATCCACTTACATGTTATGAAAATGTGAGCTTTCTGCAAAATCAACTATTTGATAAATACTAAATCCTGATCCAGGTTTCGAAAGACAAAACATTAGGGCTGACATGATCAGAAGTGTACAAGCATATTTTCACAAAATTATCACCTTAACAGAAGCAGGAAGTTGGTAGGGTCCTTCTTCATTTCTTAACTCCTCAGACAAACCTAAAGAGGTTTTTCCTTACCTGAAATAACTTAAACCTGATGTTAAACTGTGCTTTGACTCCTTATTTATCAAATTAACAGAAAAAGAAAGAAAACTTTAACCACAGCTATATATCTAAGTAGCATCTCCTACTTACTTTAACCTCTAATCTTTGAAATATTGATTTATGTAACAAAAACTAATCAAAAGCTTTTAAGACAAAATGTTCCCAGAAGACAGTTAGATTCACTTGTTAGGCAACCATTCATAAAGGCTCTCATAGTTGTGGGTGTTTCATAGCAATAATTAAGAAGAAAGCACTTAAATGAGTAACTCTCTAGATGTACTATATGTATGACTTTTACACAGAGATCATGGTCAGTATAGTTAATTGGAAGTATGGTCTTTTTCTTCATCACAGTCAGAGAAAGTTAACATTTTTGGAAGATCCCATTACACTACAACAATATTCAAGATCAGCAACACGAAAGTGACCTCATTTTAAGAACCTGCTTATGCATGTCACTTCTATAGTAAACTAGTAACATTATCAAAATGTTTTTAAATATTAACCTATTGTAAAGGAAATTAACAAGGGAAGTGACTGGAAGAATTAAGTCATCTTAACTCCTACATTATCATTGATACTTACATACCAGAGTGGACGATTTATTCAGTTTAAAGCTCAACATTCAGAAGTTCTAAGTAAAGAAGCCAAAAATTTTTCATCTTAAAAAAAGAACACTTCTTTTAAATAAAGAAATATATACTGCACATCTTGAAAACGAAAACACTTAATGACTAGAAATATAAATAAAATTATAATTGAAAGCATAAAAAAAATCAATAAAAATAGTATTTTGGCAAATGATTAGTTTAAAATGTTTGGGATGTTCATAAAATAGAATGAAACATCATAAGTTAAAATTAAAAAAAAAATGTTAAAAATGTGAGATGTTTTCTCATTCAGTAAATTACTTCACTAATAAAGAAGTAAATTTCCTGCTTAACTAGACCATCAAGGACCAGTCTCCACTGTTGCAACCAGCACACCAGAGGATGAAGTGATAGAACGATGGGCAATGTCTTTCAGTGGCCCTCTTCTCAGACTCAGCTTTGGTCCTTTAGCTCTGGATTCTCGTTTCGTCCCCAGATTCTTAGGATCAGGACCTCGACATAAAGTAGGATCAGGACCTTTACAATTCTGTGGATCTGGGCCTTTCCAAGGTAGGTATTCTTTTCTAAAAGGTACAAAATAGACACTTAAGACCAAAGTTCCATATTAAAAACTAAATAGTTACGACAGCGGAAGTCACGTGATGCTGGTAACACGTAATGAGTTCTAGAAAGATCGGGGAACATTACCAATAATCCAGTATTTGCTAGGTGCCCTCTATTCTTGTATATAAGTGCGCCAGACTGTCAATAGATATAGATAATGGCAGACAGACAGAGATGGATAATTGAGTCAAGCGCGTGAATCGTTGTGAATTATAGCGTGTGTTTAAGTTAAAGTGACTGTGGAAATTAAGTGTATTGCACAGTTGTATTGAGAGGGAATAAACTAGTTTTATTTAAGAAAGGAATTGTGTCACTGAAGTTTCATTGGAAATAAATTATACGAAAAATTAACAAACGAACAGAGACATAACAAATTGGTGTCAGAGTGTGGGACTGAAAAAAAAGAAAATGAAAAGAAGATGGAAACGAGAAGTGGCAAATCAAACTAAAGCTTAGCAGATTTGATGACAGCAATACAAGAACAGCAAAAGAAACAAGAAGAACAAGAAAAGAAGAGAGATTACAGCAGTGGCAAGAAAACCTGCAACAATGGTAGCTCGAACAGCAAAATAAACAAGAGAGATTACAGCAGTTGTTGGAGGAAAAAGAAAAGAAACAAGAAGAATGAGAAAAGAAACAAGAAGAGAGACTACAGCAAATGAACAGAGATGTAACAATAGATTAAAAATCACAAATTAAATGAAAAAGGTGAGTTTCATATATTTAAAGAAATAAATATCTTAATTTTCAGAACAAAAGTAATAAATTTCAGCAATGAATTTCACTGGTAGTAATTAATTCCTAATCTATAGTAAAAACTCTAAAAATTAAATTGAGGAATTAAGAAACTTTTACTCTTCAAAAACAATCATTACATTAAAACTAATAAACACGGTAAACCAGGCAAAGTACGAACTGAAAATCTTCCTCCCCCCCAATAAAAAGAGAAGTTACAAATAGATTATAATCTAGTAAAAGAAAACAATCAGTTTAGAAAAATATTGAATCTATAACTTTCATATTCAAGTGTGATAATACGGAAATCTTGAAGTTTAAAGACATTTTTATAAAAATGTAGGTTTATAATCTCCATACTGTTACATAGCATGTTTGTAAAATTATACATTTCAGTAAATACTGTATGAAAATGGAAAGTTGAAAAACTTATAAAAGGTTAAGTACACTCACCATATTATTGTACTTAGAAAAAATTAGATGTTTAAAAGCACTGAATACTTTCTTGTACAATTTGTTACATATCCACTATAAAAAAAGTTACTGTCAGAAAAAAAGAATATGACAAAATGATGAATTACATCTTTGTTTTGTCTATCAAATCTTACTGTGTTTTCAATGAATTTTATTGTTTTTATTGCTCTATGAACCATGTATAATTATTAAACTTGCCCAACAAAGCTATAAATTACCAGGCAAGGGCCCAACTCAAGTTACAATAAACAGCATTGAATTAGATAATGCAGGAAGAAATCATATACAAACCTTGCTTAAAATTTTATTTTACTTTATTTTATATAACCTAACGAATTTCAAATTTTTGTATTTCTGTTAATTTTATAACAAAACTTATACATAGAAAATAAACTTAAGAGCTTGCATCTGGTCTTTAGTTTTTTTTGCTCTTGGCCCCCAACAAAACTTAACTAACTTTTTTACAAGAATGATAGTAGTGTAGACAATAGTTATTTATTTATTTTAAACCTGCAGTTAAGAACACAAACTAATGACATGTAGAAATTACAATGATATAAAACTATTACAATTTAACCGGCTTTCTAAACAAGCTATAGGTGGATTAAAATAATTCCTTTAACTTGTCAAAGTGACCTTGGCAATAGCAACAATGGATCTAAAGGCTAAATAATTCAAAACCTATCATGAGAAGAAGCTAGCCTTCTACAATAATCAGTAAATTGAAACCTTTTTCTATTGGTTATAGATAATGCAATAGCAGATTTCCAAGAGAATTACTGACATTTTCTGAAAGAAGGAAGATGTGATAAAAGTACATGGGTGTGACTTTATTTATATTTCCATAAAACAAGAAGATTGGAGGCAAAAAGTGAGATTTTATTTTAGCAATATCTATACTATAAAGGTGTAATTTATGTTAAACTCACCACATCATATATACTTAGTAATAATATCTAAAATGGTCAATTCAAAGCAAACAAGTACCATGTGATAAAGAAGAGAAGATTAAGAATTTATTTACATCCTTCCTTTTGAAATTAAAACTTACATAGTATCAAAAGTTGATTTATTAACTCATTTTTGATGCCAAGTTTCTTGATATGCATTAATAATAATGTAGTTTAAATAATTTTGAATGTAACTCTGTAAAAAGTCATGACATGCACACTTTGACTTCCACCTTGCACACAGGGTTAAGTTAAGAAGAAACTGAACACAGACAGTAAAGGAAAACTAAAAACACAAGTGTGGTTTGGAACACAACATTTTTTATTTACACAAATATAGCATTCTATTACCAACAACTAGCCAGGTTTCTTTTTCTCTCTTGTCTGGCTGCTGGTGTCGACAACAGTTAAGATCAAGAGACAGAACTCTGGAAGTACCTAACTTAAATGATCTAGTGAAACAAAAAAGTCAGGAATTATACATGTCCACAGGTTACATACTTTAACCAATGATCTACATGCAATTTAGGACAAGTTAGGTGTTGAAATTATCTGTATAACCTTTTGAACAGGTTACTTTTCAAGAAGTTCAAAGAAGAACACCTACATGCTAGATTGAGACTTACAAGCAAAAGGTGCAGTTTGTAACCTTTACCTGTATAAAAGTATTAACACATTTATGACCTTGAGATATCCAGTAAACAGATGTGTTTAACTTCATACAGAAACTGCACGAACATTAAAAACATATTTGATGAATATACCTTAGTTATGTAAGGATGAAATTTATTTAATCATTAAAATAATATCATAGAGCTCAATGTTAAAAAAAACTCACAAAAGAAGACCTTCACATGGACCTCTGTGTAAGGTAGAATTTGGACCTTTCGGTTGAGACTTGTTGGTAGAAATTGACTGATGATCTTCTTGAGTGCTTGTTGCCTTAGAAAACCTTTTAACAAGAGAAAATTATATTAAAAACAAATACAATATCATTAACTTCTTATGTTTCAGATTTTAACTTCTGATAAATCTCATAAAAAAATTTTACATGTACAAAAACAGTCAAATTAGGATAAAGATGTGATATAAAATATTGGCTAAACTTCTAAAAGGCTACTCTCTGTAAAAATGTAATATAAAAGTGGCTAACAAAGTGGTTTTAACATGACCTAGTTCTTGTTTTTGATATCACATATTTATATAGCTAACTCCTTTATTCTAACTTGGCTGTTTTTTTACATGTAAAAAAGTTCTGATCAGATATCACTTCTTTCTGTTTTCACAAGCAATATCACTTACTTCTATTACTTTTCAGATATTAGGGACAAGTTATCCCCTTCATGAAGTAGAAGTTTAGATATTTTGAACACAGAAACTCATAGTTTTTGTCAATTTAAATTATTTTAGGCAAATACATTTTCTTCTATGTTTAAAAATGTTAAATGCTTCTCATACAAAAAAGTCAGTTTTTTTTATTACATATGTTATTTATTAAAACTATTTACTAAAATGATTTATTATTATTTCTAACTTGATTACAACCTGAACATTTAAGTCCACCTAAGCATTCTGACTTTGATAAAATAATACAAACCAACAGTTGAATGCTTACTTCTCTTGTTCTAAAATTAATAAATAATAACATGACACTCAAAGTAGGATTCAAACACCAGCTTTTATGGGAATCAATGAAAGAAACACTTTCTCACATAAAAGTTTTACAAGAAAAAGCCTACAACTGAAAAAAAAAGACTGGTATCAGGAGTCACTTTTCATTTGTTGGCTTTTTCATGTAAAACGTTTATGTGAGAAAGAGTCCTTTCATTAGTTACTGAATGGATCTATAGAACAACAATAACCGTTTGTACTATTGAATAGTTCTGTGGTAGAGCACTGACTCTGTTAGACAGAAGTTCGAGTTCAAGTACTGGTCACAGAGTCTATTTTCACTCATCAGCTTTTTCACATAAAAAGTTTAAAGTGTCAGGAGAAGCTATAACACAGTGTCCCTAGACCATTAAGACATCAGTTTTAACTTAGTATTGGAGAAAAATTCACTTTTAAAATGATTAAAATATATTTGCTACAGCTGTCAACAATCTATATTTCAGATTAATTATACCAGTGGAAATTTTTTTCCCTACCAGTCCTCCGTTGTTTACTATATGTTTTGCCTAGTCAATAAAGTGAAGAATAAGAACAATAATTTTACCACTTCCTGATTGTTTACTTCTCTGAATTTAGAACAGCTGCTGTTTGTAACGTGCTACAAGAAAGTTTAGATCTGTTAAAAACATAAGTTATAGCAATATCCCATATTTGGCCTAAAGTTCAGACCTGAATAGAGACACAGGTGGAGTCACTACCATGCCTCTATCTGTATTGTATATTAACTTTATATTTCTATAAATTGGTTATTCTTTTTTAAAACATCTACAGCTGCTCAATCTTTTGGTTAATATATACATGAAAACAACAGTGTTTAGTCACTAATTCTTCAACTCATTGCATACACATATGTGGGTAAGACAAGTGCTACAGAAACATACCAAAGTCTGTGCATCAGATCATTCAACAACTCTAAAACTATAACAAAAAATGTACACATTTTAAGCATTTACAGTCAGCAGCATCCCTGGCAATTTAAATGATTTTTAATTTGTTTGCAAATATCTTCCTCAAAATTTATGACATCTGGAAGAAACAATATATTAATAAATGAATAATTTTGAAGTATAAAACATTTCTGATTTTCTTTTTTTGCAAAGTATTACCTCAATCTACTAAACTAAACATTTTAATGATGGAGAAATAGTTAGAATAATGCATAAATACAAATAGATTAAACTATTCTTGTCTTTTAAAATTATATAAAATGAACTAGACATAGTACAAGTAGGCCAAACCAATCACCATTTAAAGAGAGGACATTAGCACTGATTTAAACTTGTGTATTTCTTAACACTTAATACTAGATTTACTTACATGGTTTTCTTGGGATTAAAAAAAAAAAAGATTCTACTGCTTTCTGTCAACAAAAGTTTTGCTACAATGTAGCATTAGTATCCTAAGAACTTAACAGAGAAAGCAAAGATTAATATACTATAATATGTCAGCCACATCTGCACATCTAGTGCCAACGAGGCTTTTTACCCATATTAAGACTCATCAGGCTGACTGGAATATGACAAACATAATCATAGTAATAGTGAAGATGCTATTTATATGATCAGTTTTAAAGAACAAGAATGTTATGGTGTGAACTATATTACGTAAGTTATTAAGTAACTAAGTTGTAATTATTTGCAATTTTATTTATGCCACTTACAAATCAGATTTTTTTATGGTAAGAATTAATAACACCATATCATATCTTTATTATATTTATTATTATTGGTCATCATATTTCTTTTTCTTAACCAAACAGGGTTTTTTATTTTAATCGCAAGGTAAAAATATACAAATTTTAAGCAAAAAATCATTATCACATGCAGATAAACAAAAATACTTAAATATCAATTATGTAAAAAACTAAGCACAGTTTAGCATATTAGTTTAATAAAACATTCAAGGTGGTGTAGTCACACACTGATTTTATTGCAGATATAGAAGAAAGAATAGGACAATATTTCAAAAGCTTAAAAAAAATGAATGTATTTAGTTATGTTAGAAGCCTTGGGGAAAACACAAATGGGAACTTTTTTAAAACACAATTATTTTATAAGTATATCATGAAGGATAATTTTAGTTTATTAATTCAAATGTCATTTACAAAAGCCTTTTCTGTTTAAGTAAAATAATGACATTTTTCAACAAATTATTATTCTTAACATTAAAGTATATGTTTTCAATTCTGTTGCTATTCTTCAGTTTTACTGTTAGACAATTACAAAATCCCTTAAGTTTCCAGCAATGGAACTGGAACGATTATGGTAAAAATAATTATCTATATGAATAAAAGTCCACTGCATAATGTCATCATCATCTGAAAGTACATTAATGATTGATACAAAACATGTGGTCAAGTTACTCATAATAAGCCATATACTGATATCAAATTTATTCACTATATCAAAATCATTGACTTATAAAAGAGAAAAAGTGAAAAATATGACAGCAATATTCTCATAACAGAACAAATCAAAATTGGGAAGCTCCTAAAAGAAATGGACCACTTTTTTAATAATCCACAATATTCCTGTAATTTTTATTATCTCGGGCTTGAAAAGTCAGATATTTGGGAACTTAGTTTTGAATAAAACATATCCTATTAAAACAGCCGACAGTATAGGTCTATGTTCTTCAATTATGCAAATATCACAGCATATTGCAATACAGTTGTTAACACAAGTGAAACACAAGCTATTTCACTTACTTCATCACCTCCTTCTTAAACTTCTGTCGAATTAGTCCAACTAAACCTGCTTTCCAAGCAGGTGATGATGAGCTATATTAATTGAAATGAAAGAAATGAAAGTTAAATAAGTTACTGTAAAACCTTTTGTGAAGTTATAAAAAAATATGAAAATGATAACTGGATTTTATAAGTAATTCTGCATCAATTATGATTAGAAATACGTGTTCTTACTTAGTAGATTTACAAGTTAGGAAATTCAAAAAATTATAAGCAACATACAAATAAACAACTGATGGCCATGGCATGGTAAAAGTCCTGTTTTTACCTTCTAAAGATTTTGCAATAAAACCATCCATCAGGCTCTTTAAGAAGCATGTCTGTATGCAAACATTTTAGTTTAACTTATCTTCCAGGTAAATTGTACAAGTTACATCACTGCTGTTGACTGTAGAAAAAACTAGATAGTTTTTAATTTTATTCAGTGAAAAATTTAATTTGAATTTATCATATTATTATGTAATTAATCTTGTACATTGCTTCAGTGTTTCTTTTTCTCAAAAAGTGGATTGCAGAATTTCATGAAATTGACCTAAACATCATGGCAAAAACTACATAATGTATTAAAAGACCATATACACTATTAAGCATAATATATTAAAATTTTCTAAATATGTTGATTTCCCAATTTCTTAAACTATTTTCTAAAAAAAACAGCTCATCAAATCACTTACTTTTGCAGTGAATACTAACTGAGTACCAGTCATTAAAATCCAAGCCTTTTATACCTGTCTAGAAAATTGTGTGCACGTGCATGACCTAATTATGAATACATTCAATGAGGCTAGCCACTACAAATTAGTAGTAAGTAAAAAAAAATGTAACAGACATTTCCCATTAAAATAATACAAATGAAATGACACAATGAACTAGATATCTAAGAACATATTAATATATATATAGGAATATACATCCTGGAAAGTAAAAATAGAGAAAATTCAGTTATTTAGTTTAAAATGTAAAGCTAAAAATGTAAGCATGTACGAGTATCCTATGTATCCAAATCACAGATGAGAAACTCTAAACATTTTATACAATGTTCACAAACATGTAATTTTAATTTAACATAAACATATTAAGATCATTCAATGGATCAAGTAGGTATCTTTCTGGTAGTTTCATAGAGTACTGATTTCTTCTAAGAATAATAAATCCACAGAACAGTGGGAGATTGAACAAGAAATTTACTGCAAAATAATACCGTATTCTACAACTGAGTTTGTGAGAAATAGAGAGGCTGAAAGCAAATGTACCATAGTAACTAGCACTACTCATGTGATTGGCCATTCCCAATAAAACACAAGAGGGATCATTACCTCATAGGGATAACCTCACTGTTAGTGGAAAAAAGATAACTTCACATACTACAGGTAACTCTGCAGCTATCTTTACCAAGAGAAGACAAAAGCTGCTATTCTAGGTGAATGACACAGAAAAATAGGTAGCTAGAGCAAAAGGAACTTAAAGACATTTTTGACCAATGTGTTATGTGAAAGCTGTACAAATAACAAACTTGAGAAATTCCTATATTACTATAATGAGGTAGAAAACACATAGTATTCTTATACACCACACCTTAACAAAACTCACCGTACAGTACTGTGTGAAGGTGTTCCTTCTCGTGTAGTGTCTCCTAAAAAATACAGAAAATATATGTCAATCACTTATGCAAATACTTATCAAAGTTCTTCAAAAGTATAACACAATTAGTCTTAACCCTTCCGCATTGGGTAGGTCAAAGTGCTCATGTCGCAACCTTTCACAGAATTACATTCAAAATTTAATTAAACTACTTTATTATCAATATATACAAATAAACTTAGCATCACTGAGTAGTTACTAAATCAAATTTTAACATCATTCAAGTTTTAAGTTCTTAGTCTTATAAGGAACTATTAAAAAAAAAACACCTCAATATCCCCTAGTATAAAAACTACAACATTTGTTACCTGTGTCTTCCCTCTTATTTAATATATTTATCACCCCTCCAAGAACTTTGAAATTCAACATAAATTACTCACTATAGTATAGTTATTGCTCAGTCAAAACAATTTTTAAAGCCTTCAATCTTATTTCATTTCAAAGCCATAAACTAGAAAACAAGACCCCTCCTGCCACATCCCTTCTTTCACAAATTACCAATAGTTCTCTCTGACGTTCAATACTATAGTATTTATAACCAATATAAAGCCAAAGTATTGATCTATCAAATGACATATTATACTGCATTGTTTTATTCATGGGTAATTGTCAGTTTTGTTTCCAGTTCAAGCCTGATTCACACAGGAAACACATCAATGAGCTTAGCTGAATTTCTAATGGCTCTTGTTCCATAGTTAGAAAGCCAGAAAATTTGTGATAGTTATTTGAAATATTCTGCTTTCTTGCATGTTATTATTCTATTTTCTTTGAAGCACTATTTAGTCATATAAAAAAGTATTTATTGCAGTAGTACCATTATTATAAAAAAGTAGGGTTACGTGTCATCGACAGTCAACAGCAAAAAATGATGACCCAGGCAAGTACTTTATTTCTTGTTTTTCATGCATATTTTTTATTTATTATTATAAAAGTAACTAAAATGTAAAAATTAGAAACTTTTTAGGTTAGATACAGTTAGTTTTGGTAAAATAAATGATAATAAAAAATATTTTTCACAAGATACGCTCACAAGCATCTCACGAGTAGCCTATGTATTATTTAATTCTATAGGATAATGTGAGCTGCACTTTCATCAAGTAATCTCAAATTTTATGGTGAGAATATTAGTTTAGACATGATTCAAAGGGCAATAAGACAATAAAATTTAAGTATAAACAGTACAGTTATGATATTTAAACTATTTATGATAAACAAATCAAGTTTCATTCTAGAAAGAAAAATAATGGTAATTTGGATTTATTTCGAATTTTTTCGGGGGGTGATTAAGAAGTCAGTCAAAAACCTACCTCGTATAGTTAGGGCAGAAAAAATAACAGATAAAATATCAAGTTTTAAAAATAAAATTGATATTTATCTAGGAGGTTTTAGGGATTATGCAAACAAAATTTGAAAATTTTCAGATGAAGAAAAGTATTCTTAATATTAATATGAAAATCACTTTGCACTCTGAGCAGTCAACAATCTGACACCATATAATTAAACAGAATTCTGATTTTTTGTTTACAAAATACTTTTAAAGTATACTGAAGGTTTGTGAAGTTTTGTGAAGGTATGGTAAGTGCTTTGAAGGGTTATAGTATGTATACCATCATGATTACAAGGTTCTGTAAAATACAGGTGCCTGTGGTGACAGGGTTAAGCAGTATAAAATTTGAGTCCCTGCTTAAATGACAACCTTCAAGTCAATTTTTAAAAAGAAAAAGAAAATACGAGGAAAAGAGATTTAAAAGAAAAGTACAGACCTAAGAGCCACAGGATAAGAAATAATTAAAAAAAATTATAAAAACAAAAAGACATAAATACCCAAAGTAAAAATAAAAATATGTTACTATTGTTACCTTGTTGTAAGTTCTATTCTCATTAAACTCCCATATATATTTTGCAATTAGGATAAAAACCTTTGCAACTGGCAAAAAGTAACTAGTTGGAAATTAAGCTAAATAAAAAAATTTTTTTTCAAGATTTATCACATTTTAAAAGTTCAACTACCACTTGACCAATGTTCCATAGTTAAAATTATAAACACCTGTATATAGCAACTTTTACTGCTGTGGTGTAATGCTACAAAATACTCCTGAAAACAAACACTGGACTTAAAAACATGTATCTTTACATGAATAAATCACATATCACAGGTTTTCCTATAAAAAGATGTAATGTCCACTTATCTACTAGCTGTTCATAGTTTATTTAGTTTTACTTTGAAGACAAGTTTGCTTGGGGAATAAGTACACTTTCAACAGATCTAATTAAAACTATTAAAGATTGCCTAGGCTTGATACTTTATATATAAATATGCATAAAGACTAACAGGTTAGATTTTCTCAAGTTAAGTAGATCAAGGCCTAATGAAGATAATGAATGTGCAAACTAAGTTTATATGGACATATAAAGTAAAAGAAAAGCCCCGATACCCATGTAACTGATGAGATAAATAATCAAATTGCAAAGTAGTGAAGAATTATACAGGTATAAGAACAAAATGTGACTACAAACTAAGGTGACACTCTACCCTATAAGTTTAGCAACATAACATTTTAAGCATGGTTATTATTCATGCCATAAAAATATAATGCCATGAGCTATGTTATGCACGCATATCATGCATTTCTTACCGTCTTAGTTAACATAGATTTTTCAAAATTCTATGCATAATTTACTGGTATTAATATACAAAATCAGTCACGGGACCCACTACATTCCTCTTGACCTACTTACTCATGAAACTAGATCATTCAATTAGGGTACAACATGTACTTTTCTCTTGGGAAAGATTACCTTAGCATAAAGCATATACTGTATAGAAATAAACAGTGACCTTTTCCACTGGCAAGTCAGTGGTGATTCAAGGATACAATATCATTTTTCTGTAGCAAGAGCGCAAAGTAGGGTTTGGAACATTATGCTATGAGCTTTGACAGTATTTAACAACTTATTTCATCCTATATCACATGAAAAAACAAACTAAAATTGAACATTACTGCAGGGAATTTTTCAAAATATCCTCCTCAGTAAAGAAGAGAGTAAAAGAGTACCACAGAATCACTAGCATAATCTGCAAATCCACTGTATTTAGACTTCTGTCAATTATATGTAATTGATTATCAGGTTTTTTTTTGGGAAACAAACAACTACTTTGTTTCTCACAAAAACTACTCCAGCTTGAGCATACTTATTTTCACCATAACTTAACTTGTTGTTCACATTTTTAAACTGGTTTGTTTTGAATTTTGCAAAAAGCTACACAAGGGCTATCTGCACTAGCCATCCCTAATTTAGTAGTGTAAAACTAGAGGGAAGGCAGCTAGTCATCACCACTCACAGCCAACTTTTGGGCTACTCTTTTTACCAACAAATAGTGGGATTGACCGTCACTTATAATGTCTCCATGACTGAAATGGCGAGCATGTTTGGTGGGATGGGATTCGAACCCACAACCTGTGAATCAAGTTCCCTAACCATCTGGCCATGCCAAGCCAATGTTAAGTTGCATCAGTTTTTTTGTTTTGTTTTTTCAGGTAAAAAAGTGAACAAATCTCTGAAATCCATGCCACCTTAGTAACTTTAATATACTGGTTTCTTTCACACTATACTTTTTCATGTTATTAAGTATTAAATAATGTACGTACTAAACAAGCATGATCAAATGTACTGATAAGTTAATCACACATACTATATCAACCAGTTAATGTATTCACTCATTTGATATGTCAATATAACATAATTGTCCTTAATACTGCACCCTGTTTGCAATTTTGAGGCATGCTATTGAAACAAATGCTTATTAGCAAATGTTTAGCATAAAGTTCCATTGGTAATTATTAAAGAGAATGAACTGCCATATAAAACTACAGTACGTACTGTTCAACCAAACAAATTAATGAAAAGTGTTTGGACACTTGGAAACTCAGAGCAGTGAGACACCTGCATAATGGAAAATACATTCCAAGCCTAGATCATTAGATATAAAAAAAAAAAAGAAGAGAAAAACCAGCAATTTGTTTTCCCAGCAGGAATCAGAAGCCATTAAATCAACAGGTTGGCCAGAAATTTATGGAGTCTAGGGTGTACTATCAAAATATTGAGAAATATCTCACACCATGTTCAGGGAGGAGTTCAGAGAAACAAAAACATTAAAATTGAGCCTACAGAGTGGGGATGTGTGGAAGGAAACATATACAATGAATGGTCTGGATTCATGTCAGAGAAACTGATATGGAAATGCCAAACCCTGAGAAAATAAAGAAGGAAAACATACAAGTTGACAACATTTCCCAATGCTGAGATGATGCTTTACTGGTACATGAGGAATAATCAATTGGAACCCAGGAACAGTAGTTATGGTTTTGGTTCATCTTAGAACAAAATCAACAACCAATCAAAAAGTTATGAAACTTGTGCTGTGGTTAGGGTTTGGTTTCACCTAGAACCTTATTAATAAGTACAAGAAGCCATGGTTTGGGCACACAGGGAGGGAGCCCAACAGATCATGACAGACAACCTGACTGCGAAACAGCACAAACAAGATAACCCTTCCACTCTTCAGTGAATCTTTTGATAAGATGACAGCCTTAGCATCTGTAGAAAACTTTCACCACTCAAACTTCATGTAAGTTTAAATGCCTTCTCTACTTCATCTGGTAATGTAATTAGTATAAAGTATATCATGACAGAGGGTCTGGTAGGAGTTAAGCTACTTAATGAGTTATTTAGTATCATGGATATGTTAATAAGTATTGCAGAAGAATTGTTCATGAGATGTCCAAATGTTAGAGAGAAAAATGTTAATGTAAACTGCTGGAATTTGTTCAATTAAATATACGTTTCATGTTACCTGGTCTCCAAGTTGTTTCTTTGTTCTTTATGTAAATTTCCTCGAGTTAGTGGCTTGTGAGCCTTACCCACAATTGCATATAAGAAAATATCCTCGTAATAACTATATTCATTTGTAACGTGTGTAAGTTGAACTTAACAACAAGATAAAACCTGTTACACTATACAACTCCAAAGTCGAATATAATTGGATTAGAATTTGTTTTAACTGTGATGATGATAATAGCAGGTTCTTTGACACAAATCCCAGTAGATTATTCACTTACTTGGATGAATTTTAATGTTGAAATGCAGAAATAAATGGAAAAATTAAACATTCACAAATATATGCTTCATATTGGGAATTATACTCTTTTAGAAAATTATTAAATCTATTGTTTATAAAAATAATCATAAACATATGACTAAAAATAGTAGTAGAAATCTTGTAGTTCTAATGATCATAAATTTATTTTTAAATTAATCTATTAAGCTTGAGAAAAGCATTAATAATAGTTTTGTTTTCATGTAGTTTACCTTAAAATATATGAAACAAAGAAAATCTAAACAAAACACTTCAACTAGAACATATAAAATGTATGCCAGAAATTTCATGCTAAATGTTTAACAACTGCTTTCACACACAAATTCCAACCACTTTCCTTTTAATGTTAATCATACAAATTATATTAAAACCAAAACCTGAAAAAACTTTACTAGTTATTAAATTACAAAGAAATATGTGAAAACTCACCTCTTCCAGACTGTTTTTCCATACTGGAATGCCTAGACCGAGACACTCCATCACCTGCTGAGTCCTGAGAGGATGAGGGGTGTCTACTGCGGGGTGGGACGGGTGGAGCTTCTGCTGTTAGTGAAGGGAGGATGTGTTCAGTAGCTGAAGAAGGAAGAATTTCTGCACCCTGGGATACTTCACTATGTGAGACCTGTCGTGGGCTAAAATGGAAATCAGCCTTTCAGGAATAGGATATACAGTCAAAGATCATCTTCTCAGTTATAGAGTCTCTTGTCCTCTCCCCAGTTGTATTGCTTTATTTTAATACCTGTTATTATTGGTTTCTTGTTATGATTAACACCATTAAATGGTAACAGCCTACCCAATATATTTAGTCACTATTTTGAATTTTTCCTTACTTAACTGGGACATCCCAGTAGTCAGGTATCTTAATTACACTATTAAGTGTCCAGCTTTACTGTATTTCCTATAGATGCTCACATCCACACACAGGATAGCTTCTTTCCTCTTGAGTTCGCATCATCTACCACAGTTGCAAATCACCAGCCTTGTGAAAACTCCCACCTAATCTCTCATGAATTTGCGCTACTTGTGTGATGATGTAATTATGCAACAGAACTCTCCACCAATAAAAGTTTAACACACCACCATGCTCAATGACTCCTACATTTGCACTCATGAGCTCTCATTCTTTGACAAGGCAATAAAGAAATGTGGGAAGTGGGAAAGATGGGTAGGAACATGTGTAGAGGTGAGTATCTATTGGAAAATGTTAACTTATGAAACATACTCATCTTTTCACACAGAATAGCTAGCATCCAATTTTGAGATGGAGGGACCAGTGCAAAGATTACCTAGATGAGCTACCTTCAGAAAACATCCAATGGCAGGGGCTTAATAGGAGCACACTTATGGGAGACCAGATCTCTTCTCATCCAGGATATACTCTTCACCCACGTACAAAAACAGAAGAGGCAGAAAAACCATAAATGTGTCACAAGAACAGGCAAAAATAGGTACATGGCCACCTGAGTACTCACACACAAGCTGTCAGACAGCCAATCTGTGTAGCGAGGTTGAGGCTTGTTCAGACTGTACCTTGTGTGCTCACTATCAGACTCAATAGGTCAAAACCAGCTGAACGAGAAAGGCATTTGTGATTAGCATCCGTGTTTACCTCCTCTATCGTGAGACACTACAAGCCTTATGCCAGATGTAGAAGGAGGGCACTGTATAGCATCATGTCAGTATGGATACTTATATAAACCTCTACTCAACCATAAGTTACTATGGGCCCTTCACCTGCTGTGGAAGTAGGGTGAACAATACATCATTTGTATATATGGTGTGGTCACCACAACTCTACCATCAGTTTCTACAGGCCCCATATTAGAATATACCTCCTTTCGACCACTACTCTCTATGGGCTGCATACCAGCTGAAGGAGTGGGATGTTGTTTGTTTGTTTTTCAGTAACAGGTGGAATGGACCACAAAGAGAGTGATCACCTCAACTCTACTGGACATAATTTGGCTGTAGGAGTAGGATTTGTAAAATAAATAGATATATAAAGGACCAAAATAGTGAGCTGTAACATTGGTACACCTAAAGATTATGATGTATCATAGTTTTATACCTGGCATTATCTGCAGTACACTTCTGTGTCACCATCAGCCCCCACTTCTCACCAATAGAGGGACACCTTGTTCAAGCCCCTGCAGTTAGGTTTCAATCGGTGAAGATTCCCCATGGTCCACCACCCCAGTAGCTGGGAACTGGTAAGTGGCAAGGGTCTTCCATGCTCCACTCAATGAAAGGGGGGGGGGGGGGAATTGTGTAGGGGAGACCCTCAAAATGTGCCCAACTCCCCATTGGTCCTTCAGTCTGGAAATGTTTTTTACTAAAGACAGTGCAATGGGTGACTGCAAAACTCTATTTTCAAATGTCAGCAACAGCTAGCCAGAGAAGTGGGCAGAAACACAACTTTGATTTTGAATTTTTCCATGATAGTCCACAGAATGGGTACAGCCTGGATCAGACGTGAAATGTAATATAGATTAATATAGAAAGAAATAGAACAAGAAAACCTCAAGTGGTCTTGCAAGAACACCCAATCTCACAATTCACACTTGTAGAGCCAAGGCAGATGGTAAGAGTGCCTTCCATTATCCTGGCTCGATTCAGATTTTGGGTAAGTATACCCTGGAAGGCAACAGTAATTGTCATGGGATCCTATAATAAATTAGTAGTGAGTAAGAAAAATATAAGTACACTCTCCTGTTTAAAGTCGAAATGTGTATTGAAGGATGGCTATGGGCAGAAGTCTAAATCCCTCCAGAAATGAACAGTCAAGTGGTGTAGATAGTGGGTGACGAAGGTGTGTGGGTAGACCACATGAAAGCCTGGAGAATATCCTCTAGAGGATGGTGAAAATGGGCTGCAAAAGAATGCGTAAGGTGTCGATTCTGGTGAGAGTAAACACTGAAGAGCTGATGATCACCCACCCCCAAAGTGAAGTAAAACATATGGATAATCTGGCAGATCCATTTGGTAAGGGTGGTAGGAAAGGTTTCTAGTACAGGAGGGGTTTGAAAGAATGAAAAGATTGTAACAGAAACCCCAAAAGGAGGAAGTGCAAGATATATAGCAACAAATGGCCCAAATGGGACACAGGAGTCTGTCCAGGTCAGAAAGATCATAGAAAGAAGGGATATGGGAAAAAAGTGGAAATTTCAAGGATGAAGGATCAGTTTAGGTAAAGAAGGTAAGTGCAATGGTAGAGAGTAAAGGAGGAATCTATGGCATACACATCTGAGCAATGGTGACTGCTGGCAAGAAGGAGAAATAAATACATTTTGAGAGAGAGATGATATAAGAAGCAAGTGGCAAAAGCTTCAAAAAAGTCCCAGGTGAGAGTATGAAGAACCACATTTAGGTCCCAGTCAGATAAGGGAATAGGAAAAGAAGGTCTGTGGATAAGGAAGGAATAGAAGAGGGTGGTAAGGACAGGTGAAGAAAAAATTTTACAGTACCAGAAAAGGCAGAATGTGGTAAATAGCACTACCTGATAACCCGCAATGGTAAAGACAGACAAGCCACGGTCAAATAGCCAAGTGAAGAAAATATGTTGTTCTAAGGTTTGTCAGGCAGGGGAAAATAGTGAGGGATAGACAAACAGCAATAAGCATGCCATTTACACTGGAACACAGAGGAAATGGAAGAGCAAAAAAAGAAGGACAGAAATAAAGCTATACTATAGCTCAACATGCGATGGACCAGATAAATCCCAGATATGAAGATGAAGGGATATCACTCCTTGTTGAATAAGAGACATGAGTGGTTAGATGAGAGAAGACAGAATAATGGTAACCATGGTTGGGCAGGCTAGTAAGGGGTTACTAACAGAACTCTGTAAGGAGAGTCTCAAATCAGTGCAAGGACCTAAGGAAGGGGGCAGAGAAGAGGATAGGCATAAAGGAAGAGATTGGAAAAGTCCTGACTGAGGGATGAGGTACCAAAGACCAAAAAGTTTGGTTTTGAGGAGTGTGGCAAAGGCACCAATTTGGGCATTCAGAGTTGGGAACAGATCCAATGGAAGATTTGAGGATGGATGGACCATGGCATGGGTGGGATGAGGTCTCATCAAGAAAGATGGTCTGTGACAATGTTTAGCATGCCTGTAACATGAAAGGCTATTAAACTCACCCAAGTGAAATGGGCCCAAGAGAGAAGATCCAATGTCTTAAAGCAGAGGGTTCTGGATTGGGTGCCTCCTAAGCAGTTGATATGAGACAAAACCATGGAATTATCCGAATGGATCATAACCAAATGATCCACAAAAAGGGGAAGGAAATAAGAGCATGCCCCCAAAAGAAAGAGCAGTTTGAAGGCACTGATATGTAGCTAACACTCTTCCAGGGTCCAAAAACCCATAGTCCAACAGTCATTCAGGAATGCTCCCCATCCAGAGAAAGAAGTATCCATGAAGAGGTGTAGGTATGGTATGGGAAAAGAGCACCAGAGGTGGTATTGAAGCAGGCTAGCCACCTAGCAAGACCCTTCAGTACAGAAGGAAGGAGGAGCACTAGTGAGGGCAGTGGATCCCTGGAAAGGTTCCATTGGTTCCTTAACACAGCAAGTGGAAAGAGGGGTTAAAGAGATGTTACGGTTTCCAAAAGACATATAACCTCTAGCACAGAATGTGAAGGACAGGCACAAACTTTGGTCACCAGATACTTGAAGACCCATAAATGAACTGCAGAAGTAGGACAAATGGTTGATTTAGAAAACATTCATAAACAGGTGCCAGTCCCTAGTTTTTTCTGGGACAACAAAGAGGTGGGAGTAATAACCTGGGGAGAGGTCATGAATCCTCTCAATAACCTGTTTTTTCAACAAATCCAATACTGCCCTCTACCCTCTAGATATTGCAGGTAAGTAGGACTGAATTGGTGATGAAAGGCAACAGGTGGGAAAGCTTGTGGGAAAGAACTTGTATAACCTATTTGTTATCAAAGAAATGTGCCCAAACCAACCAGATAGCTACTGGCGATTAGGTAGGCAGGTGAGATATCAGATGGAAGTAGAATAGGACAGAGGAGAAGAATGGGGAGTGGTAAAAGGGCAAGGATGACAGTCAGAAGTGGAGGAGAAAGATTAGGACAAATGGGAAACTAAGGTGGTAAGAGAAGATTGATAGCAAATAACTTTAACTCATGATTCAAGAGAATCAGGAATGCCACTAAAAACCTCTGGACAAAGAAAAGGAGCAAAACAAAGCTCCCAGAAGAAAGAAAATGGATTTGATAAAATAGGGTATCGTTTCCCTAAAGATCCCACCAAAAAAAGAACTAAGTGAGAAGAGAAGGAGTAGAGGATGCAAAACAGACCATTGTACAAAAAAAGATGAAGGGAAGAGAAGGAGCAGAGGATCAAAAACAGGCCATTGTACAGAAAAAGATGAAGGGAAGAGAAGGAGCAGAGGATCAAAAACAGGCCATTGTAGAGAAAAAGATGATGGGAAGAGAGGTACCTAAAGAGAGTAGAGAGAAAGGCTTGAATTCAGGAAAATTGTGCAATAGACAGTGAAATAGCTAATAATGAATCCACCCTCTAAACTGGCAAAGGTGGCTCCAAAAATTGGGTACCAAGGAATGGTAAGTTTGAGTGACCATATTCATGAAAATAAGAGGGAGATGGAGACAAGGCATCACAAGGTTGTGGGAAGGAATTTGATCTAGAAATGGTTTGACATTTACAGCACTGTTGGGGGAAGGAAGAACAAAGAAATCACTAGAAAGGCTGTGTGATAAAAATTGGGAAGAATCAGAGGAAGTGTGAGAGAGAGAGAGAGAGAACTGTACATACCTGAGAAATAAGGTTTTGAAAATCCTACGAAGACTGAGTGTCTTCAATAGGTAAGGATGCTTCCAAATCAAAACCTGGAGGCAGAAAAAGCACTCAAATTCATCCTCCTCAACATCAAGCTTGAAAGAAAGGGAAGAGAAGTGAGATAAAGGGACTAAAGCAGAGGGTCTCCTAGCTGCATCATGGACCCAACCACATGTTGGACAATGGCTGTCACATCTTCCACAAATACAGAAATTCCCACCAAATTATTAGTATTTTGTTCTGGTGAGGAATATATTCATTCATATCAGGAGAAAAAGAGTTCACATTAAATTGTGAATTCATATTGAGCATGTTAAAACTCAATGAAGTGAAAGTTAAAAAGCTGAAAAAGTCCCAAAATCAAAGAAACTTAAAACACATCTGTTCACAACAGTATTGAGTAAAAGAATGAGAATTCACGAGAACAAATGTAGAGGGAATCATTGAGCATGGAGATGTGTTGCACTCCTGTTGGTAGAGGGTACTGTTGCATGATTACATCATCCTGCAGTGGCGCAAATTCATGTGGTTTCATGCGAGAGTTTTCACAAGGCTGATGGCTTGCAAATCGCTTTGGTAGATCATGTGAACTCAAGAGGAAAGAAGCTATTCTGTGTGTTGAGGTGAGTATTTGCTTCTGAATTTATAAGATTAGTTTTTCTCAACATGGAGTAGATTTAGTTGTTCAAAAAGCGTGAATGTAACTTTAATAAATACTTCATAGACTGAATACTTTTCTCAAATATAAGCCTTAATATTAAAACTAGCAGAAATGTGGGCATAGCATACCCAATCTTCTAGATAAAACTACCAAAAATTTGAGCAACTTTGAGAGAAATCTTACAAAATATAGGTGTTCATATGTAAGGGATATGTCATTTAAAACATTTTTGAATTTAAGAAGCCCCCAGTCAAATTATTACATATATGTCCAGTATATATGGATAAATGACAAAATCTACGTGATTAAGGTAATAAAATGAATTTCACTTTATTACTTAATACACTGTTAATGGTGACTCAATATGATTTGTCAAAGCACATTCTTGACAGTTTAGCCTCCAAATACAGCATAGCTTTCATGAATATTTATATAACTGTGTATGTTATTTAGCTACACATTTTCTCCTGGCAGAGCATATGCAATAACAAAGAGATGGCAAACAGCCAACAGCCTTGAAATAAAAAATAACCATACCATACCTTTTGCCTGAATTGAGTAAATTAACCAACATTTATATGCAATATATATATTGATTTTCAATCTACACTTTTAGTTTTATGCTGCTATGTCATATATTATGGCTGATAACAATGCATCCACACTTGTACATGCACATTTGTTTACATCAAATAAAACCATAACTTCCCCTCTTCTCCCAGAGGATTAGAAGGTAATAAGTTCAGAACATCTGACATAATTAAAATATACATCATAATACAATAAAAGTTGGATTCATGAAGTGCATATTTCTATTAATTCACAAAAAAACAGATCATTCACTCCCATAGATATCATTTTTTGTTTCCTCATGACACTGTAATCTATTTTCAATACACTTGGATCTTATAATTGTTGGAAAATGAAGAACTAAAGCTTCTATTACCTTGATCTTTGACCCAATATTTATTTCAAAGTAATCAGAAGATCTGATTAGCAAGTTTGGTTGCATTTATTAGTACAGACACAACAGTTTTTTGTTATTATAGTTTGGAATAATCGTCCTAGTCCAAAGACACTGGGGAAATTAGTGTTCCCTAAATTTGTCTATCTTTTTTTTTATATAAGCAAATCCTACAAAGTTCTTGTTCCAGTTTTAATTAGCACAGTTCAAACATTAAGTGCAAGATCCTGCAGCATAACACCTTTGATTTGAGATAGACCTGTAAAACAAGCAATATGTCACAAACAAACTGGATAATCCCAAAATGAAAGATTTCAGCCACAACACAAAGCAATGACAGATATTCTTCTTGTAATCAGTAATTTCATTATGAAATATCCCAATAACTCTATAAATTTGTATTTTTTGTGGTGTTACTTCATAAAATCAAATGAAGTACTGTTAATTAGAAGGGCTGGAACTTGCACTAAGAACTTAACTACAGTTAAAAGTGTTTAACATCATATAATTACATCAGGAAAAAAATTGTTAAAAAAGAAGAATTTCCATTTTATTGATTTTGTACTGCTAATAGTGGATGTAAAAGTTGAGTGACTACAGAAGCTATAACAAATAAAAGACTATGTTAAGAAAATGATCCTCAAATACAAATGACAGGGAAAATTGTGCATATTTATGAATTTCAGTGAAATTATCTTAAAATATATACATTCTTAATTTGCTTAAAAGGGATACAGGTTATATAGAAAATTAGGTCCAAAGAAACAAACGAGTTTAATATCCACCAGCACAAATGACATGCTTTTTAAAATATGGAGAAAATGGGAAGGACTTTAAATACCTCAGTATGTGTTAGTAATGTATGCTCAAAAATAATTTACTTACATTGCATACCCACACTTTATGATGTTGCTTTTTTATACTTTCAAGTTCCTAAAAATAATTCCACTTGTCTTGTCACACAATTCAGCAAGTAGTAACTCACCCATAATTGTTCAGTGCATGTGTCTTCAATATTTAAAAATTACAAAAATGGTAGAGTTACAAGAATGTAAAACTGAAGTGAAATGGGAAGGCTAAGATCAAGAACAAGCTCATAATTAATACAGTGAATTCAAACAGTGCCAAGTAGATGAAATCTAGCTTTGTTTCTGTGATGTTTTTTGGGTTTGACTGGTAAGATATGAGCAATAATTGTCATAACGTAAAAACAGTTGACTTCTTCAGTTGATCAAATATAGCAATACATTATAGCTAACATGTATAAATTTAGCTACTAATATTCATGATAGTAAGTTACCTAGTGACTATATTTGGGTAAGCGCAAGCACAAGTTTATTATTAATTTTGTACTGAAGCCATGGTGTGTTGTTCTTTCATAAAATGCATTTCTGAAATGATATTTCAGTGCTGTTGCTCAGAGGCAGCAAGTGGGTCTTTTTTTTTTTGAGTAGGCTATTTATTCTATAAGTGGTTGCCAGGTAAAAAGAATCACTATGCATATACACTCTCTTTTGCTCTGTAAAATATTTTTGAGTAGAGGAGGATAATGCTCTGTGATGGATAGTATATTTGAGGAAGCAAAGCCTTCCCAAGCCTCTCATATGCCACCCCTGCTGTTGTTGCTGGTTATGTAAACATGTTGAATGGTGTTCAACTCTGAACGTTTCAGCCAAAGTGTGTGCTACCCCACATATGTGCATTTTCTGTTTAGCTTCTTCCCTCCTGTACTGTAGTTCAGCATCTCACTAGTAGCAAGTTCCTATCTGCTTCATTTTAGTTAGTCCCATCAAGCAGTTTCACCCCCTTGAAAGAAAATCTCTTTCTAAACAAAGGACAACTCAATGAATATATTCTTAACCTCCTCTACCAACTCCATTTCTTACCGCAGTGAAAGAAATAAGACAAAATAAAACTGCTAAGATAACTTACACTATTATAAAATTATTGCTAAAACTGAAACAGAGACAAATGTGAAAACAAAGTTAGTTTCAATGGTATTAAAAGCAAAACAGAATATCTGAAGACACTAATCAACATTTATTTTTCTCCTTGGCATCCAGCTTAACAATTACAATACTACAATACATACCTGTCTTGGGGTGTCATGGCCATCAAAAACTGCCTGGCACGCTCTTCATTATAATTTGAACTTTCCAAGGCTAAGCCTATCAAGGTTCTGGCCACTCCTGGAAACTGTTCTTGAAGAGATGCTTGTACTATAAATAAAAGGAGAAACTGTGAAATATAAAGCTAAATAATATTCTTCCTATCAAAAAAACATTATCATCTATATGTATACTTGTAAACCTATTGATGATTACAGCCCTGACACTGTTCCTATAATATTGTTAGATGTACCACTTCAGTTCCCATAAGGATTTAAAATTTAAGTTTTGTATGCATACTATAACTACAAGTATTTAGCTGTTAACCACTACAGATAAAACTGTCAGACCTAGTCCAATAATACAAAATATGCAAGTTGATGAAATAATGCAGAGTTGTGAAGAGAAAACAAAGATGAAAGATGAACTACTTTCAGTCTTCTATTCTTGAACCATTTAAAATATTAAATATTTCTTCTAATTTAAGCTTACCCTTGTTTCTATCAGCAGGATTCAACATGACTGGTGGGGATGGACGTTCCATCGGCAATGAAGGACGCTGAACCTCGGTTTTAGGCGGGGGTGTTGCATGCTGGCTGCTGCTGTTGGGACGTAATATAGGTGTATCTCGTTTTTTGTAACCCATATTGGTGAGCCGAGTAGAGGCTTCTTGTGCATTATTATCACAGCTGTAAAAAGCATCTCTCTTTTGCAAAATTATATTTAAAATATACAGAAGTTTCTTAAACCCTATCCCAAACAACTAATCACTTTCAGAATTATTCTAATACTATGCAATTAACTTACCCTAAACTCAAACTAGATGTTAAAAAATTCACTAATAAATTAAAGTTTTTGTTCATTGTTTATTCTTCACTGACAACAGTTTTGAATGAATTACTTTATGCATTTTTTATCGAAAGAGAGAAATATTTTAAAATATCAAATACTGGCATCATCAGTTACATGATCCACACTGTCATTTATAATTTACTTACCTGTTTACACAATTCATAACAGTAATAGCTCAAACACATATATTTAGTACTATAAGCTTCAATAACTATGCATAAAATAAGTGAACAATTAAAATAAATAAACTGACATTTATAATATGAGATCTCCATTTTACCCACATTGAACATTATTTGTTCAATTATCAGGCACAAACAATTCTGGTTAAGAAGTTAGCACAAAGGACCACATATAAAAGTTGTAATGGTTTTCAAAAGAAACCCAAAACTTGAGTGCTTTCAAATAGTTCACTATTTGAAAGAGCTTGAGTTCTGTGTCTCTTTTGAAAATCAGGGTCAAACAATTATAGACAAGCTAGCTCATACATTTCAGTTAATCCTAAAACATTCTATAAGCTTGAGTCAATCATTTGGTATTAAATTTTTAACAACTAGGCATCAGTTTAAAAAAATAAATAAATTGTTCACTCTGTTAACTGATTGCTAGTCCACTGACATCAAATACTTTCAAAACCACTTCAATAAAAAGGAGTATTTATAGTACCAATTTGTATGTAGAAAGCTAAAAAATAGCCACTAAAATGTCAATAAAACAAAACTTAAGTAACATGAAACTAATTTAAAAAAGAAAACACTGATGAAATACAAGTAAAAATATAAAATAGAGTGCTTTCACTGAAAAAAGTGCAATGCTTGAGAAAAGAAGATTATTAAATTTAAAAAAATGAATATCACTAGATTACTGTGGAAATGAGTGACAGTGGTTGAAATTATGAACATTATTTCAGTGAATTAAGATCTAGTAGCTAAAAAATTGTGATTAAGAGTTCTTCAGTAGCCTGGAATATATTTTTACATTTTATCTAAAATATTGGAAGTAAAGAATTCTCAGACTCCCAGTGTCTTATTCTCTTCTTAGTTAAGAGTATTTCACATGAATGCAACTATATGAATTTGTAGAAGTTAGAATTAACCTTTTCTGGCCCAAAGAATCACCCAGGTCACTCTTATGCAACTCACAACTCAACTTTGAAAATTACATAAAGAAATGTAATTCTAATTCTACTTCAACAAATTTTGACATAAAAAAAATATATATATATTAGAATTGATACTTTTGCATTATTTAGTCTATTTTGTGAATAAAAATTCAGAACATTCAAACTTTCACTTCTGTCATATCTCTAGGAGGTGTGAACTGTTAAATTCTTCTTTTCAGGATTTATAAGCAAAAAAAAATTTTCACTTTTAGGCTTGTATTTATCAAATGTTTATACTTTTTGGTTAACTCGATATTTATTTTATGTTTGTATGCCTTCTCTTTGTTCAATTATGAATATATTGGTTTAACTCATATTTACTGTACCACCCATATAGTTCTTGAGAACCTTGAGTGGTTCTTAACTTTAAAAAGGATTATTGCTTTAAATAAATAACCTTCAGAAAGAGGAGATTCGGACCTTTCATTCTGTATTCAAGAATACAAAAGTTTCATGTGGAAATGAGTCATGTGTTTGAACATTTTGATATTAGTATGGTATAAAGAAGCAGCCTGAAGGCAAAAATAACCAATGTTGTACCCTGTGACAACCACACAGTCTGTCCTATTATTTATTAATGCTTTCTTCTTTTACTTTAAAGTCAATAACCAGTACCTCAAATTAGTAGTTTTTTATAAATTTATTATTATATTTTCTTATAGTTTTTTAGATTAATTCTAGTTCCATTTGTTATGTTGTTCATGCTTGATCCACTAAGAGTAATACTCTTGTTTCACATAATAACATAGGGTTACAAAACTTTTTCTTTTGGATAAAAGAGCTGTGTGTTTTTATGCTCATTCATAATCAAAAACAGCAACATTTATACCAAACCCTTTTTTTAGGATAAGTAAAATTCTATTCAAAATGTTAAAATAGAGTTCATAAGAAAACCATGTATTACATTTTTTCTCCTAACCACATAAATATTAAGTGATATCAATAAAAGCAATATCACCAAGGTAGTCTTAAAAGTTTTTAGTGAATGAAAAATTTAAACTACATACTAGTGGCATGCTGCAGATATAAAAGATAGAATCCACACAGGAGATTGTCACAGAGCACAGGGGTGTTGCTTCTGGATTCTAAAGTGCAAAGTACCCACTTTATGTTAAATGGTCGATGTTACTTATTGTCTGACACTAGAACATTTGAATGAAGACAATCTGTTACCTGTTTACTATTTTATGCAATTGCATAATTGTTGAATACTATTACATTATTTTGTTATTTTTACAATTTGCATTTCAAATATTTAAGCAGTGTTGCTTGCCAGTATATGATCACTTTGTTTCTTCAATTTAAAGAAAAGTTCACAAATTTATTCAAACTGTCACTCAAAGTTTCCACTTCTTTATTTTTCTAACAACATTTGTGAAAAACATACTTATTCAACACATCAAAAAGCACAGCTTCATCAGCTTCAGGAAACACCAATTTCAGGTAGCGCAGTTTCATTTTAGGTGAACCTGTATGGGGACTCTGGTTGGTACTTGATCCTCTACTACCACTAACTAAAGCACTGATGACATCATGTTCTTGGCCATTGTGTCTAACAGCAGGAGAATGATCAGATTTATAATGGTAACATAGATAATCTATTATAAAGATATAAAATCTAACTTGAATTATTTTATTTTAATATTTTTACATTCAATGTCTTCCACATAAGGAAAAAATTTTCATTTTGAATAAATGAAAGTAATAAAAACAAAATTAAATCACTGAAGCTGTACCTGTATTCAAATTATAAGGTTACCTAAGGATAATAGCTTTGAAATACACTAAACTATTTAATTACAAATTGAAACTGTGAAACAAGACTGTATCACATGTGTGATGCTTATGATTTGATAGTAAGTTTAACATGTATTATATCCACAAAAACCTTATCTGTAGTTCCACAGATAAAAATTTTTATGCCTTCTCATGAAAACAGGACATTAATTTTAATATGTTTGTCTTTAAGAAAGAAATGTTATGAATATAAACATATATTAAACACTTAGTAACACACTAGAATAGTTGAGTAAACAAATCCAAAAACCTTTTTATCCACATGTATATAAAGCAATCTGTGACTCTAAACAAATCTATAACTATTTTACAGGCTCATCATTTCAGCTTTAAACCTTTATGGAGAGCTCCACTGAAAATGGCAACAAATTCTGTAGAGAAAATATAATTTTGTGTTTCTCACAGCAAACTGAACTCCTTATGAAAGTTGACAGCAAAAGTGATGAGTCATGAAAATAGTTTTAAATCTGCCTGAAGTTCCGGGTCTTTTTATTCACTAAGAAAAAGAAATGTGCACCACACACCAATCAGCATTACATATAACTTAAGAAACTTTCAGAAAACACTAATATTCTAGTCACATAATTAGAGAAATGTGGAAATTTAAGTCCTTTTAATACTTTTATTTTTTATGTCAAACAATCTTATAATGAATAAATTTTTAACACAGGTTTTCCAATTCTAGTTTAAATTTTACTTCATAAAATTCTACAAAAATATTACATTTCAAATACAGTTAAACTGCAGGAATCCAGATGTCATATTACATGTAACTTACTTCCGTAATAATCCCTTGATGTGTTCAACACTTGCAAGAGGGAAAAAGTTGTGAAGTTTCAGTACAATCGCTTCATCCACAGGTGGTGGTTGGGAGTCGATGATTTGCTATACGTGATATGAATATTGATGTACAGTGCGTATTTCAGGAAGATATTTAACTTTACATATTACATCTATGGTGGAGATAGTGTATATAAAATTTTGCTTGTGTTCAACAGAAAATTTTACATTAAGGAATCTGTTAAAAATAGCCAACTCTTGTCTAGGTACATAGCTTATAGACCATTGTTCCTGTAGATTTTAAGATTCCAAAATTTATTTTTTTCTGTAAAATCTTGTGATTTCATTAATCAAATGCAGAATCACATACAAGAACTGTTAAATTTATAGGCTTAAAAATGTAATTCTCATGAATTAGCTCTGCCAAAAAAACATTTATTCTTTTTTTTGTTGAATATTGTGCAAAGCTACTCATGGATTATCTATGCTAGCCATCTCTAATTTAAAAATAATAGACTACAGGGAAAACAGTCAACACCACCCACCATCAACTCTTGGGCTACTCTTTTACCAACAAATAATGAGATTGACCATCACATTATAAAATCCCCATAACTGAAAGGGTGAGTATGTTCAATGATAGGGTTTTGAGCTCATGATCCACAGATTATAAGTCAAGTGCCCAACCAATAGGCCATGCCAGACTCCCCAAAAATACCGTGGCAAGTCTTGTAATTGGATTGTTGAGTTTTAACCACTGTGTTTACCATTGATAGGGTTTTGAGCTCATGATCCACAGATTATAAGTCAAGTGCCCAACCAATAGGCCATTCCAGACCCCCCAAAAATACCGTGGCAAGTCTTGTAATTGGATTGTTGAGTTTTAACCACTGTGTTTACCATTGTGTTACAATGTTTTATGTGCATGTAAGGGATGGGCTGTTAATGTACACAACCATTCTTTATAATTACAATCTGTAAATGTACATATATATTTTATATTCATAAAAAAGTAAAAAAATTATTTGATAGGAGTGAGGGTAAAAACAAGCATACTGACCAGTAAAGGCAAGTTCAGAGTAGCACGTGCAGATTGCAGTGCTAATTGATTAAGTGACGGCCCCATAAATCAATTACATTTGATCACTTGATTAGTACAGTGTTCTCAAAAAAGGTTGTCAGTAGGTGCTGCCAGCCAGTTGCCTTCACTACAGTGGCACATAGCCTTAGCAGCTTTTCAATAACAAAGATGGGACAAGCCACTTTCATTGCAACATTTCGATTGCTTGGATAGTTGCAATAACTGAAAAGAGTAATAATCGGAAACTCTAATTTTGATGAGTTTATTACTTTCAGGACAATCAACTTAACCCTCTCTCTGCAAACATCACTTTCTGCACATGCCACAGGGATTTAGTGTGTTACATTCAAAATTTAATTACAGTATACAAATAAATATAGCTTAAAATGTAGTTAATAATCCATATTATAATATTAAAAAAAGTATAGAATTTCCCCTAGTGTGAGAATTGTGACATTTACTCCTTAGACATCCCCGCTTCTGTAATATATTTACCAACCCTCCAAGAAGTATGAAATTTAACATAAATTACTCATTATAATATTGTCATCGCTCAAGCAAAGCATAATATTCATAACTTTAAATTTTATTTAGTTACAAAGCTATGAAATAGACAACCAGATCCCTCTTGCCATGCCAACCTGTCACATCCTCTCTTTCAGAAATTGCCAATAGTTCTCTCCAACATTCAGTGCTACAGTATTTATAACCAATAGAAAGCCAAGGTTTTCATCTATCAAATGGTGTATTATATTATATTATTCTCTGTAAAGATAATTGTAAATTTCACTTTCAGTTCAAGCTTAATTCCCACAGGAAACACATCAACAAGCTTAGATGAAGTTTAATGGTTTTTGTCGCATAGTTAGAAAACCAGAAAAATCATGAAAGTTATAGGACATTGTCTACTTTTTGCATATTATTATTATTCTGTGTTCTTTGGTGCATTATTCAATTACATACAAAAGTATTTAGCGCAATACTACCATTGGTATAAAAAAGTAAGATTAAGTGTCATCAACAGTCAACAGCAAAAAAAAAAAAAAGTAAACCCAGTTAAGTATTTTATTCATGTGTATTCTGTATTTATTATTATAAAAGTAACTAAAATGTAAAAATAGGAAACATTTCAAGTTATTTAAGCTTAGATTAGATGAAATAAATAATAATAACGTAATACAATTTTTCATGACGTACGCTTGCAAGCAACTTGCAAGTAGCTCACGAATAATATAGATCATCGATAGCATAATTTGAGCTGCACATTCACCAAGTGATTTACAACTTACAATGGCACAAATTCATGGTTCAAAGGGAAATAAAACAATAAAATTTAAGCAGAAATAGATGTTTATTGTTATCAGTGTAAAGCTATTTATGAGAAACAAATGTAATGTCATATTACAGTCACTCTAGAAAGAAAAAAAAGTAATTTAGATTTATTTCGATTCTTTTTTTTTGGTGGTTGCTAGGTTACTCAAATTGACCAACTTTGTATAAAGTTAGGGTAGAGACAACAACAGATAAAATATACAGTTTTAGTGAAAAAAAAACAAAAAACTTTTGAAATATATTTAGTAGGTTTTAGGGATTACATAAATAAAATCGAGATTTTTGAAATGAAAATACTTTATTAAAAACATCTGAGGCACAGATAATGAAGGCACTAGTGAAGACCCCATTTACAAGTACAAATAGTAGTGAGGTTAGGTTAGGCACACCTGGCTCCTGAGTTTTGGGGCTAGCTCCCAGCTCTGAAAATATTTCTCAGGGCATGCCCAAATAAGACAGACTAATGTCATGTCAATATATAGCACATTCCCCCCAAAATAAATCACTTTATTACGCATATAAAATGCTGTTTGCCAACATATTGTTATACAGCATGTAGTTAATAATTACAGATACTGCATATGGAGTAAAGTTTGGGGACTTGGTAGCTCATTTTATTTTCCATTGGGATTTGTTTGATGTTGCACGTGAATAAATATTAGCTAGAAAAATTGTGCTGATGGGTTTATTCTTTTCTAACAGGTTCTATTTAACCTGATCTCTACCAGCTACTACCTTTCTGTGTAGCCAATGCAAGTCTTGCTATATTTCATTACAACAATAAAACTAGTGGATGAAATTGTTTGAAACTTCATAAGAACTTTCATAAATGCACGTAGTTTAAGAAACATAAAGCCTGTTAATTTTAATAAATTTAGTTTTTT